CTTTCTCTGCTAGATTTGAGGGCACTAGAATTTATGTGTACTAGTACGTCAAAAACCCTGGCGCATAAGCCGTACTAGTACGGCCGAAACCCCGAAAGTGTTAAATTTAAAAAAAAAAAATTTCATTTTTCTTTATAGGTTACCCTGCTTCGGTGGGTATGGCCAATTCATTGAAAAAAAAAGATGAGGGATTCTTCTTTTTTTCCTTTCACATTCTTCAGAACATAATTAATACAGTGGACCCCCGCATAACGATCACCTCCCAATGCGACCAATTATGTAAGTGTATTTATGTAAGTGCGTTTGTACATGTATGTTTGGGGGTCTGAAATGGACTAATCTACTTCACAATATTCCTTATGGAAACAAATTCGGTCAGTACTGGCACCTGAACATACTTCTGGAATGAAAAAATATCGTTAACCGGGGGTCCACTGTATTGCCATTACTTGCAAATCTAATAATAATTCACGTTCTTGGAAAATTTTAATAATATTTACCATTATTCTACTGGAAGAGTATTGTACAATTGATTACATTCTAAATATTCATCTCCAACTATAGAAATATATTAATGATTGTTATAGGTACTGACTGCTCTTGGCTCACAGTTGTGTACACTGTGGGGTAAAGAAGCTGATGTGGGTGAGCCTCCAAACTTTAAAATATACCTAAATGCCATGCTAGCCTTCACTCGCCATCCAAGTGTACGTATCTACAACTTCACTAATGGTCTTTGGGGGCAACTGTTCCGCCATGAGCTTGTATCACAAAGCAAAACACTGCAGGCTGTCATACCCACGTGGATAACCATTGTATCTCGCAAGGTATGTTGACTTGTTGAAAGTACTTGACAAAGTGAGACTTCTCTTTTAGACATTTAAAAATATTGTTTCAAAAGATAAAGCAGTTTTGTGAATTTCAGTGTTCGTGACTGAATGCTATACAGGTACAGTGGTCCCTCATTTATCGTTCTTAATCCGTTCCTGGAAGTGGGACTATTATCGAAATAGACGATTTTCAAATCAATTTCCCCCATAAGAAATAATGTAAATACAATTAATCCGTTCCTGACACCCAGAAGTATTAAAACAAAAAAATTTTTTTACATGAAATATAGATGTAGTACATAAACAGTACAATGGGACTTGATGAATGAAACATTAACAGCATAACACTTACCTTTATTGGTGATTCTTCTTAGTGTATGGAAGACTGGAGGAGGAGAGAGATTGAATTACTGTTTGGAAAGAGAATCCCTTTCCATCAACACCTCAGGTACCAAGTGCTTTTCTGGGGTTACTTCTCTTCTCTGTTTCTTAATGCCACTAGGACCAGCTTGAGAGTCACTGGAGTCCTGTCTAGCAAAAAAACTGCCCAGAGAGCTCTGTTTCTGGCATCTCTTTAAAACTTCCCTAAAATGGGCCAAGACTCTGTCACTGTACAAGTTGCCGATATGGCTTTCAACATCCTTCTGAGGGTGATGTTTCTCCATAAATCTTTCCATCCTACCCCACATTTCAAAAATCTCCTTAATTTCTGAAGAAGGCACCTTCTTCCATCTCTCTTCCTCCTCCTCTGCAGCAAGATTCTGAGCTGCGATCTCTTGCTGTTCCTGCTGAAGTTCTTGCAGCTCCTCAGTGGTTAGCTCTTCGTTGTGGTCCTCTACCAACTCTTCCACATCCTCCAAACTCACATCCAACCCCATGGAATTCCCCAATGCCACAATAGAGTTCACAAGTGACATAGGCTCATCAGGGGCTGCCTCAAACCCTTCAAAATCCCTCTTGTGGACACAATCTGGCCATAAGTTTCTCCAAGCAGAATTCAAAGTCCTGGTAGTCACTCCCTCCCAAGCCTTACCTATAAGGCTTATGCAATGGAGAATACTGAAGTGTTCTTTCCAAAAATCTCTTAGGGTCAAGTGGGTGTCTGAGGTCACATTAAAGCACCTTTCAAACATTGCTTTGGTGTAGAGTTTTTTAAAGTTTGAAATGACCTGCTGGTCCATGGGCTGAAGGAGAGAAGTGGTATTCGGGGGCAAGAACTTTACTGTGATGAACCCAAACTCCTTCAGAATTAGGTCATCCAAGTTTGGAGGATGAGCAGGTGCATTGTCCATTACTAGGAGGCACTTGAGATCCAATTTCTTTTCCAGGAGGTAATTCTTCACACTAGGGCCAAACACTTCATTGAACCACTCGACGAAAACTTCCCTCGTGACCCATGCCTTACTATTACATCTCCAAAATACACACAATTTACTCTTCATAACATTGTTTTTCTTTAACTCTCTGGGATTTTCAGAATGGTACACTAGTAACGGCTTCACTTTGAAATCCCCACTAGCATTAGCACAGAACATGAGCGTCAGCCTGTCTTTCATAGGCTTGTGTCCTGGCAGTGCCTTTTCCTCCTGAGTAATGCAGGTCCTCTTTGGCATTTTCTTCCAAAAGAGGCCTGTTTCATCACAATTGAACACTTGTTCAGGTTTCAGTCCTTCAGGCTCTATTTACTTCTTGAATTCATGCACATATTTTTCAGCCGCTTTTTGGTCCTATATGGCAGCCTCATCATGCCTTATCACACTGTGTATGCCAGTATGCTTTTTAAATCTCTCAGACCAGCCTTTGCTGGCCTTAAATTCACTCACATCACCACTAATTGCAGGCAGTTTCTTTATCAAAATGTCTTGCAACTGCCTAGCCTTTTCACAAATAATCGACGTCATAAGACTATCTCCTGCTAATTGTTTCTCATTTATCCACATCAACAATAACTTCTCTACATCTTCGAGTACTGGTAATCTCATTTTTGTCAGCATATTTACCCCCTTTGCAACAACAGCTTCCTTGATTTCCTTTTTCTTGGCCACGATGGAAGATATGGTTGTACAGGATTTGTTATACATCTTGGCCAGTTCGCCCACACGTATACCACTTTCATATTATTCAATGATGTTTTTCTTAAATTCAATCATATTTCTCACCTTCTTTACCAAAGGCTTGGCACTAGAAGCTTTCTTTGGAGCCATGGTAGCTTATACAGCACTTGCAAGCACTAAAATGAATGGAATATTATGAAATATTTCGTATGAACAAGTGAGGGGACCGTCACTCACTGGTAAACAATGACACACTGGTTGGGAAGGGAGGCCAAGGCGGCTCAGAGCGTGAGTACGTGTCCAGGACGAAAGACGATTAGCGAGTCAATGGACCATTTGTGAGCTAATGTTTGGACGAAATAACGCGACGATTTCCGAAAAGGACGACTATCGAGCCGGAGGATTATTGAGGGACCAATGTATATCTTTTATCAGTCACCACAATTATTTCAGGCTCTCACAGACTTCGGTTTTATCATTTCATACTTTTTTCAGATTCTTTGAAAAACTCAATATATGATTGTTTATGCACTCACTTTTTTCTTGAACCCCTCTTGCCCTTATATCACTTCTTTCTACCTACCCCCCCCCCCCAACAAAAAGAAAAGAAAAGAAATAAAAGTGGGTAGTGATACTAACTTCCAGTAAGTGTAAATTTTGAGAGAATGTATTTTAACTAAAACAAGCAAAGTTGAGCATGTGTTGACAATTTCATCACTTTAATTAAGTAGGTTATGTCAAATGCTCCTTCATTTAGAATGTTGTCTTAGTTTATTTTTAGATTTAGAATGTTTTCTTAGTTTGGTTTTGGATTTAGAATGTTTTCTTAGTTTGTTTTTGGTATTAGAATGTTTTTTCAGTTTGTTTTTAGTTATACCCATGATGTCTAGTTCTCCTGTACAATACTAAAGAGATACATTAATTAAGATTGGGAGTTTCCTTAATATTTTAGAAGGTTATACTCATTTAATTGTTATTCCATATCCCAGTGGATTATCTAAAAGTGCAGTTGTCCATAAAACAGACTTCAAACAAATATTTGCACCTCTATTTATTTAATTCTAGACAAAGACAACCACATTATAATATTCTTGAGTTATTAACTCAGTGTTACATGTTGCACCCTTACGCTCCATTGTATACGAAATATAAAAAGGCCTGACTATAATAAGTCCTGTAATATTATATTGTAAGCCACTTTATTAGTAGCTAGATAAAGAAGGTTCGACTATATATTATTATCGGGTATTGTATAATTGATAAAGTTACTCTAGAGTGAGGTTGTACTTAATAAGATTTATGTTATACGTTAGGTATTTCTTATTGTATCATGCACATGTTACGAATATTGTATTATAGTAGGTTGATTACTGTGTAATATTAAATGTTCTGTTATGAAGTGGGAAACCACTACTTTGGAGACCGGTTGGTAGTTCCGGAATTGGCGCCCCGCGCTGTCTCCTGAACGACCTGACGTCAGACCACTTAGCATTGGAATAGTCAGTCAGGTCAAAGCACTGACTCTGATCAGGTCTTCAACCCTGAGCTCTTAATTAGCCGAGAATTCTGAATCATTGCTATTGTCTTAACTTTGCTGTTAATTCACAAAGTCTGAAATCCTCCTTGCATAAGAAGGATAACTATTAGAGGTTTTACTTTCTTGAAACTCTGCTAGACATTGAACGCCTGGAGTAACAAATTAGACATTCTAAATTTGACTATTTGTTGTAACTATTGTATTATGTTTAATGTATGGTTTTTATAAGGATTTGAACATAGAGTTATGTTCCTCATTGTACAGTATCATTTCATTGAAAGTAGGGAATTGTCATTTTAATTCATTGACTGGATACCAAAAGAGGCTTAATACTGGTATTAAATAAAAAGCAAAAAGGAAGAAGCGGAGTCTTTATTCCCTCGTTGTTACTACGTAGAATAAGTCATAACACTCAGAGATTTAATAACTCAAGAATCCAAGTAAAATGTCTTAATTTTGTTAATTTTGACATTCCTTTGATGGGTTTTAAGATCTTTCATATTCTTGAAGCTTGACCCTGGGCCATGCTTGTATGGTGCTTCCCTGGTCAACCAGAGTGCCTTGTCATGGTTTACCTAGGATGCAACCCACAACATCTGACTAGTTTTTGGATACTTGTTAACTATTAGGTGACCATGGGCAGCAAGTGTAAGGATAACAAAATTTGCCCATCCATCTCACTTCACCAAGAAATCAAATGTAGGCCCTTTTAATTTTGACTGAAATGCTCTACAGTACTGTTTAACTACAAGCCACTGCAGTGGAACCTCAAAAATCGAACTTAATCCCTTCCAGGAGCTAGTTCTAATTTCGAAAAGTCTCAAATTCGAAGCAATATTTCCCATAAGAAATAATGGAAATACAATTAATCCCTTCCAGAAACCCAAAAATATTCACACAAAAAATACATTTTATAGAGATTAATTACAGTTTTTCATACAACAAATACTATAGTTTTTAATTATGTATAGTAATACATATAAAATAAAATTTTTACATACCTTTATTGAAGATTGGTGATGGCATCTGGGTGCGGGAGGGAAGAGGAGCAATTAGTGGAATGATGATGTAAAGAGAGTAGTAAGGGAGAAAAAGTTAGCATATGAGAAGTTTTTACAAAGTAGAAGTGATGCAAGGAGGGAAGAGTATATGAAGAAAAAGAGAGAGGTTAAGAGAGTGGTGAAGCAATGTAAAAAGAGAGAAAATGAGAGAGTGGGTGAGATGTTATCAACAAATTTTGTTGAAAATAAGAAAAAGTTTTGGAGTGAGATTAACAAGTTAAGGAAGCCTAGAGAACAAATGGATTTGTCAGTTAAAAATAGGAGAGGAGAGTTATTAAATGGAGAGTTAGAGGTATTGGGAAGATAGAGGGAATATTTTGAGGAATTGTTAAATGTTGATGAAGA